AGAAAGAAAAATACCGGATGGTTTCACTCATAGCAGGAGTATAATGGACCAGGCGAGAAAATAACAAGAATAATGAACAGCCATATACCAGAGACCTTTTGCGGGGGTAGAGTGGGGAATGGGATCAAAAACGAGGGGTGGAGGAGGGGTGGGGAGGGAAGTGCATGGGATTATGGTGATGGCACACAGGTGACTTGGTGATGGGAAACCCGCGGGGATTATAATTGAGATGGGAAAAAAATTGTACAAAATGATGTAACAATAAACTGTTATAATAAAAAAATATTAAAAAAATAATTTGTTGCAAAGTTTTAGGTGTACATGACCGCAAATTCCATATTTTTATAAGTCTAGGAGGACTAAGTGCTTTTTATCCGCAGGGCATGGATGATACACAGGTGCGAAGCGCTGCTACTGATATATTCTCATACTTGGTTGAATATAATCCATCCATGGTACGAGAGTTTGTCATGCAGGAGGCACAACAGAATGATGATGTAAGTAAGAAGTTAACAGAGCAAAAAATAAACAACAAGGTAAATATTATTTGCACTAATAGTAAGTATTTATACATGGGGAGCTATAAATGTACTTACTCTTTTTTAAGATTTAGATAGTTCATGTTTGAGAATAGGTTGGCCATAATATCAACTGGCTTATTCAAGTCCTAAATTGGCTCCTGTTCAGTTTCTAAAGTTCATCTTACAGCAGTTACCTGTTAATGCTCAACTGAAATTACTTTCATAATTTTAGAGGTCAAGTTTAATTCTGATGTTAATATACTGTGTTATACTTATTAAATCATTTAATTAAGTAGTTGTCTTGTGTTATGTGGAGTTATGGGGAAATAATGATTTTTGTTAGAGTCTCAAAATTATCAAGAATAATGAATCTTTCTTTGGAAAGTGTTTAGGGTGCTCTCTTGACTACCTAACCATAGGGAACAGGATATTTTACCTAACTGAGAGGATATCTTGATAAGTGTTAGGGGCACCCTCAAAGTGTATAAGACCTGGCAGCCCTAAGTGTGGTGCCATTCTGTTTTCAGAAAATTAAACCAATGAGTCTGATTTTTTTCTTTTCTACATAAAATCTTATGAGTAAGTTTTTACTTAAGAATAGCTGCTAATAAATTTAAGGAAGGATTTTGTGGGGAAATACACAGAATTCAGCTGCTGCCGTATTTTTATAACTTAAGAAAGCAGACTTTAAAAAGTTACAGTGGTTCAAAATTAAGTGGAATGCCTAGTAACATACATTTATGTTTTGTTTTTTGTGGAGATTTTTGGGTTTTTTTGTTGTTGTTGTAGTGCCAGGGTATGTGTAGAAAAGTACCATTTTGACCTGTTGCATTTCATGTCATATTCCTCTTTAATACTCTTGAGAACCAAAATATCTGTTAATAAAAATAAATACTAGTACTATTAGGCCATAGACAACACAGGGGTTTTCTTAATCCCTCTCAGTTTTTATTTATTCGCACCAGTGAGAAGAGCATCAGGGAAACTGGCAGTCAGTTTTTTTGTGATAGTGCACTCCATGTAATACATTTCTTCTATGTGCTATTTAAGTACCATAATCTCATTTTCCCCTATTTCAGCATTCATCTAATTTTTTTTAAATTAACTTTATCTGCATAAATGAAGAATAAATGCAGATATCATTTGCTATAAGTAGAAGGAATCTATACAAATATAATGAAAAAAGAATAATGCCATACACCTAACTAGTCTTACCATTGAAGCTCTAAACTACGGCTCATTAGCTTTCTCTAGCAGTAAGATTTTGTTATCAGGAGATACAAAGATCCAGTAGTACCAAATTATAACTGGTTTTGCTTAATCAGAGGGATTTAAATATAACAGAAAAAACATTTCAGTGTTACTTAATGTAATGTGCCTATACCTCCGTTTTCGGAAACATTGCCTTATATATACTGCTAGACCAAGAAGGCAGGCAGGCAGGCAGTCATTCGTTCGTTTCACTTGCTGTTAACAAGACAGACCTAGGTATGATGCTATAGTATGTCATAGTAAGTGCTTTTCCATTGTCTCCGGTTGTAAGTATTCCTGATTATGTGGTGTTTTTTTTTTTAACCAGGATATTTTGCTCATCAACCTCATTATAGAACATATGATTTGTGATACAGACCCTGAACTTGGAGGAGCAGTCCAACTTATGGGCTTGCTTCGAACATTAGTTGACCCAGAGAACATGTTAGCTACTGCCAATGTAAGCCTATGGTGTTTTTCTTTTATTCATGCTAGTATGTTATTTATTGCTGAAAGGACCCAATACAGTTGAAGTTCATGGAATGTTTTTGATTCTTTAGAAAACAGAAAAGACTGAATTTCTGGGTTTCTTCTATAAGCACTGTATGCATGTCCTCACTGCTCCCTTACTGGCAAATACAACAGAAGACAAACCTAGCAAAGGTAAGATAATGCAGATTTTTGAATTGTGAAACTGACAGTGCTAAGTGATGATCTTTAAAAGTTCAAACTAAGCTTTAAGTCTATGATTATTATCAAGAGTTGTTCCTGGTAAAGTTTCTTTTTCAAATGCTTACATTACAGTAGATTCAAAGATAGAAGATAATTTGCTTTCAGAAGTTTAAATCTGATGTTAAAAACAATTTTGTTAAAATATTTGTAAAGCGACATTTTTATTTCAGTTTACATTTACATAGATGGACTAAATAGGACAAGGAAATAACTATGAAAAAAAGTTGGCATTATTTGTACTCCAGGTATACAGATAAAGCTAAGCTTGTGTGCAACGCTAAGCTGTTTTTAATTGCTTTGAAGATTATTCCTTTGTTAAGACTCTTTAATTCTGAATTTTCTTCTTTTTGTGTGTGTAATTTTTAAGGTAGCTCAGATTATATTTTTCAAAACTCTTTGTTGAAACTTTAGGCATACATTATTTAATCACACCAGTATAGTGTATTTTACTTACAACACTATTTAGGAAATAAATGAATTGAAATTAATGATTATAAATTATTATCAAATAACTACATTATTAATAAGGACATCCTGCGGAGAGTGCTGGTTCTTAAAAAAAGCACGTGTAAGAAGCATAGGGACTAAAAGAAATTGTACTGAAGAACAGTTATAACTGGAAGGACCTCCTGTGCTGCATGCATATCTGTTGAGAAATATGTTCAGATGTTAAAACATTCTTGCACTTAGAAATAAAACCTAATTAATCGATATGTATTCCTTCTCTGTCTTACCAGACTTGGGTCTTGGGAAATTAATTCCTCATAGAATTAGGTTAAATAATGGGCCCTCCTCCCTGGTGATACAGTGGGTTTAAGCACAGCACTAAGAGGCTGTCCACAGCCACTGCAGCATGAGTTCCTCCCCAGCCAGGGATGTGACTGACCCACATGGTACAGCAGACGTCTCCTGGCCCTCCCGCTGCTCCCCTCAGCAGTGCATTTAGTCATCTGCCTGTTCTGTTCCCCCACTCTTGTCTCCTGTGAATCCTCTCAGCCTCCATCCCTCTGGCCTGTACCCCAGTTCCTGTATGCATAAATAAATCTTAAAAAAAAAAAAAAGAATTCAGTTCAATAAGAAAACATGTAAAGGACAATTCTTACTACAAGGGAGGCAGTCATTAATGTTAGTTCTTTAACTTTAAAATACTTGGATTGATAAAGGGAAATTACCTGAGATTAGGATTCTTATATTTGGGGAGGGGAGCAAGGTAATTGTTAAATACAATTTCATTTTGTTTATTTTAGATGATTTTCAGACTGCCCAGTTGTTGGCACTTGTATTGGAATTACTAACATTTTGTGTGGAGCACCATACCTACCACATAAAGAACTACATTATTAATAAGGACATCCTGCGGAGAGTGCTGGTTCTTATGGCCTCAAAGCACGCGTTCTTGGCATTATGTAAGTGTTGCTTCTGGTAGTTCTTACTGCTTGAGAAGAAAAGATGACTCATTTCAGGTCAAGATACCTACCTACTAATACTAAACTAGTTTTACCACATTCTGAGCAGGTGATTTTCCTGAATTTTTCTCGTTAATATACACCAAAGGATTAGACTGTGTCTTCCAACTACATTAAAGTGTTACAGCCCATCATTTAAATAGTTATGATAATTTTATCTATTACAGATTTTGGATTTTTATTATAATTAAAATTTAAACATCTTTCTTGCAACTTAAAATGTGTTAATAGCACTGAGTTTCTAAAACCCCATTCGATGTCAGAGAATTCCTGGCACCAGTGCCTACAGACGATGTATTAATTCCACAAGTCTTTTTCCCTCCAGTTTTATTGAGGTATATATATAGAGACAGATATAGATAAAGCATTATCTTTCCTTGGATATTACAGAATAAGGGTGGCAAACATCTTTTGTGGCCACATCCGGCCTGTGATTTATATTTATATGATTTGCCATCTGAAAAATGGGTTTTCGTGTTTTTGAAGGTTTGTTTTTTAATGGAAAAAAACCCCTGCAGAGCTCATATGTGACCCACACAGCCTAAGACCTTTATTGGAGAAGTTTGTGAACTCTTTAGAATAAAACTCTGTTCTTATGACACATCACAGTTGGAAATAGTGTAATACATATTCTTGATCATGTAGCAGCCTGCTTTCTTTGGTAAGTTGGCTAACCCAGCTTACGGTTTCCTAGAGGCTATAAGAGACACTTGCTGGTAATTGGCATTTTGGTTTTTATAGGTAAGTTCGGTTGTTTTGTTAATTGTTTAATTGCCCATATATTAAGAGGATTATACATAGTTTTGCTATCTTGAACTTCATTAAAAATGGTTTTTCTTAATTGATTTAAGTTCTTAAATTATTTCTAAAAGATTGTATATGAGGATGCTTTTGATGTTGATTTTGATTTACTATTAGAAATAGGTTTCTTTCTATCACTTTTTCACCAGGTTAGTGTATATACTATGCTATGTACTGAGGATACTTGCGGTCAGTATATATTTATTTTCTGACTTCCAGATATTTAATAGAATTACTTTCTGCTGTTTATCTCCAGGGGCTTTTATATTACCTTGTTAATCTTTTACAATCAAAAGGAATAGGCAGCTTCTCTGGCATTAATTTAGATTGGTAAGGACACCAAAAAAAAAAATCAGTTTTTTTGGTTCTTTACTACTTGAGCTATGATCTATAGCAGATGCAAAAGAAGAGTTGTTAAACTACTCTTCACTTACAGACCTATTACAGCAGAAATTAGCCCATGGACCAAATTTAGACGGAGTTCGTAACACTTCTCTGAATTGTTCTCTCGTGTCAACATAAGCTTTGTTTGAGCATGGAAAAGGGGAGTTTGAGCAGATGAGAGAGAATGGGGAAACAAAACAAATAAGTTTTAAGCCACCAGTTTTATTTCAATTTATTAAATGTCTACCACCATAATTTATTGATTTTTGAGAGGTGCATTTATTTAAGTCAAGGTGAGTCTTAACAACTAGAGACAGGTCATTTCGATTGTAGGGTTTTTTTTGCCCCCCTTGTAATCAGTTGCAGCTCAGATTTGATGAATCAAACCTGGTACTAGGGATATGAAGATGATTAACATCTGGACACTACTATCAAGGGAATCAGAGTTCATTAGGTGGATATGGTCATGTAAAAATCAGAATACATCATAAGCAATATATTGAAGCGTTTGGAAGTGTAGTGGACATACAAATGAGGCAGATTAGGAAATTTTTATTTAGGGATAAAATTAAATTGTGTTTTAGTCATTGGAAATGATACATTCTTGATTGAATACACAGTTAAGTGCAAATGTGAAAAAGGGTAGTGTTAGAATAGATAGAAAACAAGTCTAGTGAGAGAATGACAGGAAAAAACTGACCTTTTTTTCAATTTAATGAAAACTCTGGAAAAATTATTGTTAAGTTAGTGGAGGTTTGTATTTAGAAAATTACACTAGCAAAAATCTTGGTTCTGTTTTATCTCACAAATTATTCTCAGTGTTAATGAGAATGTGAGAAGCTTCTGTATTATATTAGGACTGACTTTACTAGTACATGGTAAGAGCTTTTAAAAGAATGTAAATTTGAAGTGATTTAATATATTTTTAGTTCTGAGAAGAGGGTATTGGAGTGAAATATTAGGCATGAAATGGTTTATAAATGTAGCACCCATATGTAAGGGCAGAAGTTAATAAGCAATTAGGTGCAAACAGTTTGGGGACTTGGGGGAACTTTTAACTTTTTGTATCTGCTCATTAATGTACAACTTTTACATTACAGACAACTAACCAAGTCTGTCAGTGAAACCAGCGTTCCTTTTCCAAATTCATTCTTAGCTTATATATGAAGAGACACACACCCTGCTAGTTTTACAAGTCTTTTAACTTGGCCTGTTCATTATTGTTGGCTCTTAACGTTGCAGTCATTTTAGTTCATACTTTCGTGTTGTCTTTTGTTTGTTTGACATGGAAATAAGAGGAATGACATTAAAAATTGGTTGTAGATTATTTTTATTTAGCTGTCATTAAGTAAAAGAAGTCTCAACCTTATATGAAGTCTCGTGTGTATAAATCATCTTTTAGAGATGATTGAAATTAAGCATAAGTGATATGACATGTTAATGGTTAGAAACGTGAGTGGAAGCACAGTACCTTTTACATTAAAAAATCCTGTGGTTATGCCAATTTGTTCTATTTCAAAAGCTTTCTCTATTCTCCTTTGAGCAATTTGACTTCATAGAACTCTCACTAGTAAATTTCTGAAAGCAGCTTTACCCAAACAACGAAGTGTAGTAGTTAGCAGCAGGTTTTTTTTGAGGGAAGGGCTTGAATAGAAATAACACAGCTCTTGATAAAAATAAATGAGGGCAAATGGAAACAAGCAGCAAAACAAAAGCAGCACCAGAACCACACTCCACCCGAGCAGTTTTTGGATAGAACTGCTCTTGAGGGGAGGTGGTGATGCCATGTGTGTGTACCCTGGTCTTAGTGAGTTCTAGGAGGGGGTTGTTTCGCGTAACACAGGATTTGCATGCATACTTCAGGCTCCGGCTAGTGTGTCACGTGGTGGGACACACACCTGCACAAAATCTGCAAAGTTGGAGTACCAAATTTTTAAAATATAGCTCTTGCCTTAATTACTTAAAAGTTTAAAATTTGGCCATTAATGTGAACTTTAAACTATTTTTATGCTAACAAATGGAACCCTAAAGTTCTTTTGTCATGAGACCTTAAAAATAAATCATGGTTTTGGGAAATTAAACCCCTGTTGGAAATTGAGTTTTACACAGAAAGATGACTCTTATTGTTGAAAATGTCTTTATTTCATCATGCTTAATGTATTTGAAAATATTGAGTAGTTTTTAAAAAATGCAATTACTAGTCTATAAACTATTTTTGAAACTCCCTGCCCAGAGTGTCCCTTTAGAAAGAGACACTCTCAACTAAGTTGGATTGTTAAGGCAGTTTATAATCAACTGTGGCTAATTGGGCATTCACTTGTGGACCTCTTTTCTGCCAACAAAGAAAAATTGAGCTGCTTTACTCCTCTGCCTTCCCACCCAGAAACCGTGTCAGCATGGTTGCCTGGCTACCTGCTCATGAAGGACTTGATTAATAACAAATTGGCAATTTAACGAGCCACTTCTATGATCTCCAAAGAAACCAAAATACAAACACAATATTTAATCTTGCCAACCGAAGACGATGTGACTGCATGAAGTGAGTATGCTTTTTTGAACTGTTTACAATAACTGGGGCATTAACTTACTGATAATTATATTTAGGTAAAGAGGGCTTTGTTGAAGACTAGTTGTCTGAGTATATTTGGATCTTGATGAATGGTGACTTAAGCAGCTCCCCATACCTCAAGATATAAATATACTTTTTAATCTGTAAGTTAAAGCCTAATTAATTGTAAAAAAAAAAAAAAAACTAGGTTAAAAGATTTTAAAAAGCATACTCGCTGCAGTAAGCAAAGAGGACCACGTGTTTTTTTTTTTTTTAATCCTCTAAATTTATTTCTAAATTATGGGAAGGCAAATTCTGGATCATGCAGATTGGGTTTATAGCTTTTCTACAAACCCACCCACAAGTAATCCAGTGTAAACCCATGAACTCTGGTGCATAATAATAAGAGTGTCCAAAAATAATGATCAGATTATACAGTGGATTGCCCTGATAAAACAATGATTTTTCTATTGTTTTTTAGGTGTTATATAAAAGAATATTTAGAATTTCCTCATTTTTAGTATGATAGGTTAAATTTACTTACTAGCCCTTAGCTTGTATTTCAGATGTACAGTACATTTTGGTCATTCACTTATTTTCAATACTTTTTTACTCTGTAAGACTCGCTTTTTGTGATAGACACACTTTACATTTTTCTGATAACTCTTTTATAATCCTTATCTTTAGGTTCCTACTTCTGGAAACACTAACTTAACCACTGCACAAAGAATTGTATCTGCTAAACAACCTTTTTTTTTTTTCTTTAAGTCTAGAATACATACATGTGGCATGTAATTTGAACAATGCTTCTGTGTTTCAGGTGCGCTTCGTTTTAAGAGAAAGATTATTGGATTAAAGGATGAGTTTTACAACCGCTACATAATGAAAAGTTTTTTGTTTGAACCAGTAGTGAAAGCATTTCTCAACAATGGATCCCGCTACAATCTGATGAATTCTGCAATAATAGAGATGTTTGAATTTATTAGAGTGGTATGTTCTGTATTTATTCAGCTAGAATTATTAGAGTTTTTAAAAGAAAATCAAGAGACTTATGAGTCTTTATAGAGTAATTTGAAAACTGATTTAATTCTGTCCATGTAGTCATTTTAAGAAAGTAAAACTACAGTTAGCAAATATTTGAGGCTTTCCTGAACTTTTCCTAACCTTTCTCATATTCTAAATAGCAGGGTTTTTTAAAGATTTATTTATGCATACAAGAACTGGGGTGCAGGCCAGAGGTGCAGGGGCTGAGAGGATTCACCAGAGACAGATTGGGGGATAGAACAGGTGGGTTGACTGAAATACACTGCTGAGGGGAGCAGTGGGCAAAACAGAGAGGTCTGCTGCGCCATGTGGGTTAGCTCCCTGGCCAGGGATCGAATTTAGAGTGCAGTGACTGCAGAGAGCTTTATAGTGCTGCGCTTTATGTTTGAGTGTTGACTCAGACATACTGTGTGCCAGCATTATCTGTGGCACACTTGGTAAAATATATGGCGATGTGGATTGACCATTGTAACCATTTTTAAGCATACAGTTATTACCACCACCATCCATTTTTAGTACTTTTCTGTGAGATTTTAAAATATACATGCCCAGATTCCACCCCAGACTTACACTTAATCAGCATCACTTTATGGAGAGCTGGGCATTTATTTTGGAAAGACCATAGGTATTTCAGACTTTGGGGTGAGTTTATGAATTCATTAATCTTAGTAAATAAAGTTACATTTCTCCTTTTTTATTGCAATTTTCTACAGGAAGATATAAAATCATTAACTGCTCATGTAATTGAAAATTACTGGAAAGCACTGGAAGATGTAGATTATGTACAAACATTTAAAGGATTAAAACTGAGATTTGAACAACAAAGAGAAAGACAAGATAATCCCAAACTTGATAGGTAAATTATGACATATTTGAACCTGTTTCATCAGTGACAAGTTTTGTGGTGGTGGGTCTAGTTTGTTTGGTATTACTTGGTTTTTCAGAGGGGGTGGGGTCATAGGCAGATAGCAAGCAGAAATTGGAGTTTGCTAACATGGTTACTTTGAATATTTTCCTGAAGGTCTGATTAGATACATTATTAAGATATGGAGACCCTTCCTCAGGCATACTACCAAGTTAGATGGTAAAGAATAAAAACCAAAACAAACATTTATGTGACGAGTTTTCATGTGTCCAAAGTGAATCAAAATATTATCTTAAAATGCTTTAAATTATTTCAGGGTCACAAATTATTATAAGAAATCTGGCACAGCTTCACATACTTACAGTATATTTTAAAATCTTTTAAGTTATGATTTGTTTAACACCTGGAATGAAATAGTATGATTTTGCTAGTAGGTAGTTTGATTCCACTAGTTAGCCCTAGATAAAGCTGGAGTGTATTTTTGGTGGTTTGTTTGGTAAACTGTTTTTTCACCAGTCTGTGTATAAGTATTATATAATGTTAATCTATTAAGACTATATCTAATTCAGAGCTACTAGATATAGTAGCTTAGAGACATTTAAAGAAATCTTTATGTGAGTCTACTTACTTTGCTTTCTTCTTTTTACTTACAGCATGCGCTCCATTTTGAGGAATCACAGATACCGACGAGATGCCAGGACACTAGAAGATGAAGAGGAGATGTGGTTTAACACAGATGAAGATGATGTAGAAGATGGAGAAGCTGTAGTGTCTCCCTCTGACAAAACTAAAAATGATGATGATATCATGGATCCAATAAGTAAATTCATGGAAAGGAAGAAATGTATGTTGAACAAATAGGCAAATGAATTTTCTTTAAGGGGAAACATTTCAGGCAGCGTAGTGAAGGCTTTGTTCCTTCTCAGTGGTAAAATCCAGCAGTAATTGTGTCTAGTATTTTGCCAAGTTTCGTTCATAAATTGCTTCTCCTTAGCAAAGAAGTAAGTTAAATTGTTTGTGTTTTAGTGCTACCTCATTTGGGGAGATTAAAAGTTGAGTGTGGATGATAACTATTGACAATATTCTCATTTTTAGTAAAAGAAAATGAGGAAAAGGAGGTGCTTCTGAAAACGAATCTTTCTGGACGGCAGAGCCCAAGTTTCAAGCTTTCTCTCTCTAGTGGAACAAAGACTAACCTCACCAGCCAGTCACCCTCAACAAATCTGCCTGGTTCTCCAGGGTCACCTGGGTCCCCAGGATCCCCAGGTTCTCCTGGATCTGTCCCTAAAAATACATCTCAGACGGCAGCTATTACTACAAAGGTACCTTTTTTTTTTTCCATTTGGACAAAATTTTTGAGTCGTTTAAATCCTTGCATTGTTCACCTCGTCCAACTGAGTGGGAACAGGGACAGATTTAGCTATTGGTAGAAAGATTGTCTGGAAGTGGGGCTTCAGACTTCCTTAAGTAAAAGGGCCTTCTCCAAGTAGGACAGGAGCATTCTTGCCCACCTAATTTCTAGGAATTCTTAGGCTTCGCATTAGTGGCAACTGCTTTCTAGAGAAGGGAGTAGCAAGCTGCTACTTAATTTCTGACACTTTCATAACACTCTGAGTCAACATAGACTTGCCCTGCAGCCATGTCAAGATTTTTGCCATTAAATAGTTTTGTTTTGTTTTGTTTTGTTTTTTATTTATTAAGGCACACAAAAACTGGGGTGCAGGATAGGGGTTCAGGGATGAGAGGATTCACCAGAAACAGTGGGCAGTAGAACATGCAGATCCATTGAAAATACACTGCTAAGGGGAGCAGTGGGGAGACAGGAGAGTTCTGCTGCACCATTTGGGTCAGCTCCCTGGCAGGGAATCAGTCTCATGCCACAGTAGTTGGCAACAGCTTGATAGCACTGACTTTAAACCCCTGCACCACCAGGGAGGCCCTAAATAAGTTTTTTAAATTGAGATCGCATCGGTTTACAACACTGATTCAGAAATACAGGTACCTCTTCGGTTGTATATCAACCGAACCACATCACCGACCACCAAGGTACCATAGGCCATGAAGACTCCTCCGCTCCCCCTCTCCAGACACCTTAAATATGACAGATTTCTAGGGTGTGTAACTGGATTGGTTTTGATTGATCCTTACAGCAATACAGGCTTCTGACCCCCAGGCATAATCTAAGTTTTTTCAACAGTAATTACTTTGACTGAGACCCCATCTGGTTATTGTCTTTTGGAACTGATTGAACATACCAGAATCACAGACTAGTCCTCCTACCACCACTTCTAAAAATTGAGGAATTCCAGAAATTCTTTTTTTTTTTTTTTTTTAGATTTTATTTTTTGCTAGAAGAAGTGGGGTGTAGGCCAGAGGTACGTGGGGGGTAGGGACAGAGAATTCATCAGAGACAGTGGGGAGCAGAGCAGACAGATCTACTGAAATACCCTGCTCAGAGGAGCAGCAGCTAAGAGAGGAGAGTTCTGCTTCGCCACAGGTGGCCCTAGGCCACTTGGGAGGCCCCCCGGTGCTCTCATGACCAACACCAAAGTCTGAATCTGTTAATTTGGTCATCCTGTATTCTAGAACTACAGTGTCAGATTTGCACTGTCAAACAGTTACAAAGAATTAAAAGTTATTTCAGGTACTCTATCAATTTCACCTTTAATACTCAGGTAAGCTTTGTGGGAAGACAGATAAATATTTGTATATTGCTAAATGTCTGAATACTCTTAACTTCTGCATATATAAAAGAATCATGTATCACTAACATTTCATGTAAGGGTCAAGATTTAAACCAAAATGTAAGAGAAAGACTCAGATTAAGACCAGTTATTTCAGCTTCATTTGCTGCCCTGCACTAACAGTTAATAGACATTGGGATACTGTGATTAAAGCTAGAACTGTATTGCCCATCCAGACTGCCTTTTCCTGTGTCTGAAAAATGTGAAAATGAGGTAGGCTGAGAACAGAGAAAGTATAAAAAGTGAGGTGCAGTAATACAGAAACAGGACTAAAGGGAATACCTGGAAAAAATGATGAAGAAAGAATGACAGAATGACTTTACTAACTCAATATGTGTGTCTTTGGTAGCTTTCATTTTGATGATATTGAAACTTTAAGAAATTTTTTTAACACATTATGTAACAAAACATTTTAGATTTAGCAAATGATGTTCATTTCTTAGATGATTTAAGATTATAAACTAAAATTTTTTGTTTTATGGAAAGTATAAGAAATAATGAATTTCAGCTGTACACCATTAAACGTGTTGAGGTGGAGAGGTCTGGTCTAGTTAAACTATGCTTAGTCTTTATGCAGACTTAAAACATAGGTTTTTAAAAAATACTGTGCTTTATTTCTGAACAGGGAGGTCTCGTGGGTCTGGTAGATTATCCTGATGATGATGAAGATGATGATGAAGATGAAGACAAGGAAGACACGATACCATTGTCAAAGAAAGCAAAATTTGAGTCGTCATAATGGCAACTGTCTGTGATCAATACCTGTTGAAAAAACTGGTTCTCTGCCCCTCCCCCTACAAGATCCACAACAAAGCAGTGGTCTCTGTGACTGACTGAGCAGCTCAGCCTTGCACACTTGACTCTGCTCATCAAGTGCCAATTCAATGGAGCAGGAGGAGGGGATATTACACATTTAGGGGGAAGACTTAAGCCTTTGAGCTCTCCAGCTTGGACCACACATCGCCCTTTTCTCAGGGAAGGAAATGGAAACAAAAAGCCAACAGGGCAGGGGTTTGTAAGTGGGACTCTGGACTGTCTGACCAGTTGCTACAATCAGAACATGCTTTCTTGGACCATGTTTGAGACTCAGAAGAATAGGCTTTTCTGCCACAATTCTTCACTAGTTACTAAGAATGCCAGCAGTTTCTTTGATAAGAGACCTGCCTTTAAAATCATACATTCTGAACATTTTAGTCAAGCTACAACAGATTTGGGAAACCTCTGTGGGGGAGGGGCGAATATAAAGTTTCCTCTTTTTTATCTGTTCCCTTTGCCCTTCAAACTGCAGATTTTTTTTTTTTTTTTTAAGTAGGGTTTTGTCCCTACTTAATTAAAGATTGAGTGGAATTCTAGATGTGGTCATTTGTGTCATATTTTTTTTTTGTTTCATTCTGTTTTTGTTTTTTTTTCCTCCCCTGAGTGTGTGCTTAGTTGTTGAGTATATATATTTGGGACCATTAAAACTCTTTTTGATGTAATATAACCTACGTTGTGCTGGTACCTGTTTTACCATGTGTAATTTTTGTTCTACATCACAATTCTTAATTTGTTTAGAGTTTTATGAGAGATGGTATAGTTTTTATTGACAAAAGCAAAGTAATCTTACAACTATGTGCATACAAAAGCAATACTATTTTGTGACTAAATATTTTATATTAAAATTTACATCAGCAACTGTCTTGAGAATTCAGGGAAATAGGAGTGGAATTTAAAATTGCAACAGTTTTTGTTAAACCTAGAAACGTGAAATTAGTATTCCAAAGAGATTCTGAAATTTCTTATCTTGGAAAATGACGGTACATTAAATCAAATTGAGGACAGATGATTTAAAATTAACATTTGACTTTTGAATAATAAAAAGAAAAGTGAAGAGTAAGAGAAATTGTATTAGTTGTATGTTTCTTTCTTTCTTTCTTCCATTCTTTTGAAACTACTCCCTTTGGAATACCAGTTTGGGATGTAAGTGGTGGCTCCTGAGGTTGCTAAGTAACACCCAGGGCCATCAGATACCACCCTGTTAAAACTGCACTTTGAAATAGGTCCTTTTTGTCTTATGGCTGCTAAACTTACTTAGGGAAATGGAAATAACCCTACTTGTCCCTCTTTTTTAAAGGGAAGATTTCAAAGATAGTGTTAAAAGTGTATTTCGACATAGTGTAGAGCTGCTTGTGGCTGTACGCTAATTTATTGTTTTAGTCAACATTTTGCAAATAAAGAGAACTTAATGGCATCTAATATACCTATATTAGCCAAGATAAACATCGTTGTTACCTAAAGTCTAGTGTGAAATGATACACCTTAAACATACAGTTTTAAATTGTCCTTTCTGATTGACAGTTGAAACACTTGTCTTGATAATGTGAGGGATCGTGGGTACAGGAAAGGAGGGCCCCTGTTTTCAGAAATGATACTCCAAAACAGTAAAAGAAAAACAGTGACATTTGGCCTTTGACATTATAGAAGCTTTATCCTTGATGGATTGCCTTTCCTCATGTTACAAACTTGGTAAGTATTGTTTCATGACCAATTGTTTTCCATCTCACTATCTTTACTGTTCATTTTGTGACGTTTAAAATGAGAAGTTTTTACATCTTGGCGTGATCACCCATCAACTAAGTATGGCTAGGAAACACCCTGACACTGAAATTCCAGAAATTCTTACTCTGATACTTTCTGATAAAATGAAATGTGAGTTTTTCCCTACCTGCTTATACTGGGATCTCAGCTGCTGCGTGTAATTTTCTCCAGAACTCTCAATTTGCAAATTGAAAAGGGAAAACCCAGACAAGGTGGGGAGTGACTAATTCATTTTACTTAAGCAATGGACTTTTCTAATACAAGTTAGAACTGCAAGGAGTTTTAGCTGGAAAAGGTTAGCTTGGAAACTGCTGGATAAGAGACCTCTACCATATATAGCTTCAAAAAGCTGTCAAAACCCCGTTTGGGAGAAAATTTACAACCTTCAGGTATATGGAGTGATATCTATCAAGTTTTTTGTGCTAATCATTTTGAGCAAGGGGAGAAAAACTTGGAGATTCACCATTTTACTAGGCTATTGCAATAGGGATAGGCCTATTCTTCGATACATGATACCCAGGGCTAAAGCTGATTTCTCTCTGGCCTTAGTAACTTACCTTGACTCTTTAGAATGATAAATCTGGATAGAAACTAAACACCCTCTCTAGACAAATGCCTTAACCGCTGGAGTCAGATCCTTCGGTCTTTAAACTGGCCCTTGAGACATAATTTCTTTATTCTAGGTTAAGTAAGTTCTGTGAACTCTGGGCATAGTTTTCATCAACATGACTCTAAATGGGTTTTTTGAAACCCACTGATGCCACTTTTCCAAAGAAACTGCTCTGGTGGTAAGTCACATCCTGCCTGAAATTCCATGAATCTTTCACCCTTAAATAACATGACAGGCTGCATTTGTTATTGGCCACTTTGTAATCGATACATTTTGTAGCTACACCACCATGTGTTTTAGCATTTCTGACCCATGTTTTAGCTCCCTTTGCCCCTTAAATGCTAGGGTTCAGCCCCTCCCTGGTGGCACAAGGGGTTAAAACATGGCACTATAAAGCTACATACACAGCTATGGCAGCACACATTTGATCCCTGGTCAGGGAGCTGACCCACATGGCACAGCAGACCTCCTAACCTGCCCGCTGCTCCCCTCAGCAGTGTGCTTCATCAGTCGGCCTCTTCTGCTCCCCACTCTGTCTCTGGTGAATCCTCTCACTGCCCCTCCACCTCTGGCCTATACCCCAGTTCTGTATGCATAAAATTTTTTTTTTTAATTCCCTATGTGGATAGAAAGGGAACACAAGATCTCTTGTCCTTTGCACCTTTGGGCCCTAGGGTAATTTATGAACTTAATGGTCCCTTGTTAATACTATCATGTAATTTCAGTAACCCCCATGTGAAGCCTAGAGCCTGTCTGGTTGCTCATCTGGGCTCTAGTACCTACCTGTAAGTGGTCTTTTGAGCATCTGGCCACAACTATAGATTTCATTGACCACATTGGTCTGTTTATTTTATTTTTTTTAAAGATTTACTTATTTATTCATACAGAACTGGGGCACAAGCCAGAAATGCAGAGGGTGAGAGGTTTCACCAGAGACAGAGTGGGGAGCAGAACAAGCAGGTCAATGAAGTACACTGCTGAGGGGAGCAGCAGGCGGGTCAGGAGAGGTCTGCCATGCCATGTGTCACCTCCGGGGCGGGGATGGAACTTGTGCCAAGAATCAAACTCAGTGCTGAAGTGGCTTCCTAGTGCTGCGCTTTAACCTATTGCCCCACCAGGAAGGGCCCTAATGTTGAATTTAATGGATTTGGGCTGTGAGTTCCTGGAAGCTAGATTTATGGGATTCTCTTTGCATAACTATTAGTACAACACAGATGGTGGTAAGGTATACAGATAGATCAATAAATAGATTGGCTAGACTGATTCAGTAGTACTCTTGTGCAGGAATAAAAATAGGCATGCATTTACTATTGAAAAACAAAGAGCCTGGGAAATGTGATCACTCAAAACTAGCACTTGATTCTAGCATTTAATGTCCTTATGTTGGAATGTGTTTCAGCTCTTCTGAAGGGAAGAGGCAGATTAATGCCATTGTAATTCGGAAATTGCTCTATCAGGTTTTCCAATTCCATCTTCTAAAGCACTACTCTGGAGGCAGATGAGGAAATAGGACAGGTTTTATTAAACAGCCTGCAGAATGTTTCTAGTTGGCTCACACTGAGTTAGGAACCATGAAACTAAACACCTATGAAATTTGCCTTAGGAATTCTTGAGTGACTTACAAAAAGGATACAGAATGATTCCTTTTTAGTGAAAAACAATCCCCAGTGTTTGCCCCAATCAAGCCCCAGCCCAGGACAGAACCCTCCCTGGTGGTGCAGCAGGTTAAAGCAAAGCATTGTGAAGCTGTCCACAGCCACTGAAACACCAACTCAATACCCAGCCAGGGAGGTGACCCATATGGCACGGCAGACCTCTCCTGTCTCACCTGTTGCTCCTCTCAGCAGTATGTCTTTGTCTCTGGTGAATCCTCTCACACAACCTCTGCCCCCCCCCCCGCCCCAACACCTCTGGCCAGTTCTTGTATGCATAGATAAAAACAAATCTTAAAAATATACTCAAAGTGGCCCTCCCTGGTGGCGTAGCTGGTTAAAGCACAGCACTAAGAAGCTAAAGCTACTTCAGCATGAGTTAAATCCCCACCCCAGAGATGACCCACATGGCGTGGCAGACCTCTCCTGACATGCCCACTGCTCCCCTCAGCAGTGTACTTCATCGATCTGCCTGTTGTGCTCCCTACTCTGTCTCTGGTGAAACCTCTCACCATCCCTGCACCTCTGGCCTGTACCCCAGTTCTGTATGAACAAATAAATCTTTGTTTTTCAAAGATAAAAACTGCCAGCCATGAACACACAGTTCTACAAATCTTTGTTTCAGATATGAGAGAAAAATAACGTTTCCAGACTAAAGCTGAAGGAATTTTCAACTAGGTATCTCTTACAAAAAACATTGAGGGGAGCACTAGGTAAAATGCAAAAAAATTAAGTTCACAAACACAAAAAATGAATGAGAGTAATTAGAACCAGAAAGCAAAATAAAATACAATAGGGCCTCCCTGTGTGACAATGGGTTAAACCTTAGCATGCATCCATTGACAGCCATTACAACAGGAGCTCCATCCCCGGCCAGGGAGCTGACTGGCGTGGCACAGCAGACCTCTCCTGTCTCACCTGCTGCTCCTCTCAGCAGAGTGTTTCAGTGGATCTCCTTGTCCTGCTTATTCTGTCTCTGGTGGGTCCTCTCACTGTTCCTCTATACTTCTGGCCTGCTATTGTTCTTGTATCTTAAAAGAAAAATTCATGGGGTTCAACCTATACCTTTAAGAGCATATTACAGGCAAAAGAAATTGAACGATGTTTATTTGAACTTCCTGGTTTTCAATGTAATCTTTTGACTTCAGCATTGCCAACTATAGTGAATTGTTTCCTGTTTTCTGAAAAGAAAATTTCTTTTAAATAATTTGTTGAAATTTCTCCCCGTGTGGCAATCTGACACACACACAAAGCAGGTTGGAGTAGACATTCTTGTGCATTAAATCCCAAAGGACCCCACATCCATTAATTATTGCATTTGACAATAGTAACTTATTTCAGTATTTTAATAATGTTTCAAAATGTTAGATCGGTAACAGAATATAAAATTATCATAGAACATAATTTCTGCTCTATGTGTATATTTTATACTGCTTTATGTAGAAATATATTTTTAAAGGGTTGTATTTTTTTTTTAAGATTTATTTATTTGTACATACAGAACTGGGGTACAGGCCAGAGGCTCAGGGGCAGCGAGAGGCTTCACCAGAGACAGAGTGGGGAGCAGAACAGGCAGATGGATGAAGTACAGTGCTGAGGGGAGTGGGGAGCAGAACAGGCGGGTCAGGAGAGGTCTGGATCTCCTCCGGGGCAGGCAGGGATCGAACTCATGCAGAAGTGGCTTTAGCTTCTCAGTGCTGTGCTTTAGCCCTCTGCACCACCAGGGAGGGCCAAAGGGCTGTATTTTTTAAAAAGACTTATTTATGCATACAAAATAGGAGTGTAAGCCAGAGGTGTGGGGGGTAAGAGGACTCACCAGAGACAGAGTGGGGAGCAGAAGAGGCAGATCTATTGAAATACCCACTGAGAGGAGCAGGGGGTGAGACAGGACAGGTCTGTCACTCCCTGTGGTTCAGCTCCCTGGCCGGGATAGAACCCCTATTGCAGTAGTTGCAGTATCTTGATATAGCTGCAGTATCTTGGTAGCACTGTGTCTTTAACCCCTGAGCCACCAGGGAGGCCTATCAAAACAAATTTAAAAACTTGGGAATTAACCAAGTATGTGAAAGAGTTGAAAACAATAATACATTGTTGAAAAAATGAAAGAAGATGGGCCTCCCTGGTGACAACAGGTTAAAGCGCAGCACTGTGAAGCTGACCACAGCCACTCAGCACGCGTTCGTTCCATCCCCAGCCAGGGAGTGACCCCTTGTGGCGTGGCAGACCTCTCCTGTCTCCCCACTGCTCCCCTCACCAATGTACTTCATCAGTCCGCCTGTTCTGCTCCCCACTCTGTCTCTGGTGAATCCTTTCCCCGACCCTCCCACCCCCAACACGCACACCTCTGGTGTGTATCCCAGCCCTTGTATGCGGAAATAAATCTTTTTTTAAAAATTACACTAATCAAAGCAGTGTGGTTTGACATAAAGACAATCTGCTCAATGGAATAGAAAAGAGAGCCCAGAAACAAACCCTTGCATAAATGATCAGATGATTTTTTGTTTATGGCATGACTTTATTTATTTATTTACATCATTTTGTGTCCCTTTTCCATCCCAGTTGTAATCCCTGTGGATGATCAGATGGTTTTTGATAAAGGTGGCAAAGTTTCTCTTGGGGGAAAAATGAGTCTTTTCAACAGATGGTGCTGGGAATCCCAGATAGCATATGTGGAAGAATGGATCTGGATCCCTACCTAAAATCATTTACAAAAATTAACTTAAAATGGATCAAAGACCTAGAGTAAGACCCTAAATAATGAAACACTTAGGAGAGACCATCAGACAAGAAAACCTCTTATCAGTGGATTTGGCAATGATTTCCTGGATATACAACAGGCAACAAAAGAAAAAAATAAACAGACTGGAGTTCATAAAATCAAAAAGAAAAAGCACTTCAAGAGATAAAGAGTAAAAAGTCACCCACAAGAGAAAGCATTTGGAAATGATGCCTGACAGTCAGCTCCTTCTCCGAGTGAGGAGGGGACTCATCACTGGCCACGAACCAGCACAGCTGCTAAGCGACCCCAACAGAAATTCCTGACATGCCTGTAGCCCAGAGACAAATTTTCTCCCCAGGATGGGAAAAACCGCGCCACACTGCGAGGAAACATTTGTCCAAGCTTTTCTAAGGGAAAAATTAAGCTAATTACCAAGCAAAGGTCCCCTCTTCCTCTTTCCAAGGGCTGGGATCGGTGAGCAAACCTCCAGCAACACTCAATTCCGTTCGCTCACATCACCCGGCCCCTGTAAGAAACCCGGTACACCTGCCTTCGCCCGATTCTGGGAGATGCGCAATTAAGGAAAAGCTGAATGAACTTCTGGTGCACACGGAAACCACGTAAACTTTAGGTCCTGGGCAGCCTCCCGCTCCTGTTGCCCTGACTCCCGCACTCTCTTTAGGGAGCCCTCACAGTTTTAGGGAGCCCTCAGCTCTGGGGGCCGCTCCCTCACCCGCCAACCCGGCAGTAATACCACACTTCGCCGGCAGATGCCGCAGCCCCAACACGAGACACCTCCAACTTTCAAGCGACTACCAGTCTCCCCCACCCCGGCAGCCATTTGGTGCCTACTGTATACTTGCCCGGCACTAACTAGGGGCTGCCAGTCAGCCCCGCACCGATTGGCTTATCTCAGGGGCACGCGTGGCCATTACATTAGTTCAGTCGTTTATAATCGTGCTTTGAACCCCGTCTGAATCGTTCTGTGAAATCACCCACGGCCCGAGGTGCGCGACAGCGCCGGACTGAACCGGGTCCCCCGCGGGCTCTCGGCGGGGAGGGCTGACTCCCCGCTGCCTTTGCATCCAGCTGGAACCCGCCCTTTCCCCGGTCGCCTGCACCAAGCCGCTGCTGTGTCTTCCGGGTCGGAACCCGGGATTTGATTTTTCTGGCACGGGGGCGGAGGCGTTAGTCTGTTGGGGGTTGGGGGCGCAGCGGGGGCGGGCACAGGTGGGAAGCGGCTTCCGGCGGGGACGTGTGGAAGGCAGCACGGTCGGGGCGCGGGAGGCCGCGCTCTCGGGGCTCAACTCCACATAAAGTTTCCTCCTTGGGCCACCCGGCCAGCGCCCCCCCTGCCCTCGCGACTGACCCCAGGGCGCGAGGCGCGCAGCGTGGGGGCCTCGCGGCGGCACCTGGAGCTGCGCG